ATTCTGGGAGTTGAAGTCCACACGTCTTCATGTGGCCAAGGTCGAGAAATGCTGAGTTAGACTATTGAGAAGGCCAATCCAGATGTGGGACAAAATCACTGTCAAGGAGGGATCACAATGAAAGCTTCCATGACCAAAGGGGGACCAGAACATGGGTCTCCTCACTCCTAGTCCAGCCGCTTCCTCACTACCCCACTCTGGTTCATGGGCAAAGAGGGACAGACTCATCCAGAGTCCTTCAGGGAGCTTCCATGACTGAGTGGGGAGCAGAACGTGGGACTTCCCACCCCTAGTCTAGCACTTTCAACCATTACCCCACAGTGGCTCTCAAATGCAGGTTTGATCTTGAAGACACTCTATACTGCTGTGGAAGATATCATTTTAAGAGTAAAATTGTAACTAAAATTGGATTTGTACAATGTAGGTAGTCCTCGGTTAATGACCATTCATCGACGACTGTTCAAAGTTCCAATGGCACTGAACAAGGGGGACTTAGGACTGGTCCTTGAAGTTCTGGCCATCCCAGCACCCCTGTGGTCATGTGATCGTGATCTTGGCACTTGGCAACTGCCTCGCACTTACGACCATCGCAATGTCCTGCAGTCACGTGATCGCCATTTGCGACCTTTCCTGCCAGCTTCCCACAAGCAAAGTCAATGGGGAAACCAGCAGGAAGGTTGCAAGTTGCTCCACAAAGTCGCTCACACCCTCCCCTACCTGGCAGCAGCCACTTACCCGCCTGCAGGCCTGCTTGTGAGCCATCTGGGACTCGCAACTTCCTGCCAGCTTCCCCATTGACTTTGCTTGTGGGAAATTGGCAGGAAGTCATGAGGAGGTCCTCGCTTAACGACCTGTGATCCTCACTTCATGACGGCAACAGGGACTGCCAGGATTGCCATTGCTAAGCGATGCAGATGTGACATCACGCTTTATGACCGCATCGCTTAGCGATGGAAATTCCAGTCCCAATTACTGTTGCTAAGTGAGGACTATTTGTAGTCTACAGCAGGGGTTTCAAATTGTGAGTCACACATTCTTTTTAAATGTGTGATCAGGCTTACGTAAATAAAGTGGAAGCACGGTCAAAACTTGCTTCCACTTTGCTTCGGCCAGCCTGTGGTCGCCAGCTGGGTCACCATAACATCTGAGAACCCTTCTGATGTATAGTTTAATTTTTAATTAGTAAAAGTAATATTATACTTATTTCTTCCCAATAACCCATAACCCCAATAAATTCATCAGTTTTCCTGGATGAGATGACGGGGGCTCACAAAATTAATTTATCATTTTAAGGGGTTGCATTATCACAGAATTTGAGAGTGCCTGCAAAACAGGGTTGGGTAGCTTGCATTTCAGCAGTTGCAAGACCTCAGCCTTCAGTTCACACCACTGTTCATGAACAAAACATCGGAACTGAATTGTTAATCCAGATTTGGGGCTTACCACATTGTGTGAACTCAGCTGCAGCATCTTGCTGCACAGAAAGCCCAGGGCCTCCAAAGCTCACCTGTTCTTCCCAACCCGCCTCAGCTCGTTGCCTTTGCAGGAAATCCTCAGCCAGGCCCACCGCCTGGGAGCACGTCTCGGGGCCATGTTCCCGGACCCAACTTTGCATCTCTGGGGGCAGGATGGCCAGAAACTGCTCCAGGATCAGCAGCTCCAGGATCTGCTCCTTGGAGTGTCTCTCTACCTTCAGCCACCGATGACAAAGTTTCTGGAGCTGGCTGTAGACGCCCCTCGGACCTTCGGCCTCTTGATAGCAAAAACGACGGAAGTTCTGCCGCTGACGCTCCCTGGAAATGGCATCCCCCCTCAAGATGGCCGCCTTCACCTTGTCATAGTCCACCCGGTCTCTGGTATCCAGATTGCTGAAGATCTGCTCTGCCTCCCCGCTGAGGGCTGGCAAGAGACGGGCCATCCAGTCCTCTCGGGGCCACTGGCAGGCCTGGGCCACTTGCTCAAAGGATGCTAGGAAGGCCTTGGTATTGTCCCACGGGGTGGGCTCCTCCAGCAACTGGGGCGTCTCCCATTCTGAGTGAGGGTATTCCAGCTTCTTCAGAAACTCCTGCCACTGGGCCTCCCACCGTTGAAGGAGCCCATCTCCAGCTTCCTGGTCTCCAGACGGCCTTTGCAGGAACTCCCGAATACTCCCAGCCTGAAGGAGGTGAGGAGCTTCCTCCAATCCTTCTCCTGATGTGGAACCAGGTGGCTCCTCCTCCTCCATTTTAATCCGCGGATGCACTCCTTGCTCCAGCTCAGCATGAAACCGGAGGCCAAAGCTTGACTGTGACCCCTCCTTGGCAGCCATTTTGTCCCAAGTCTGGATGGGCCTCATCCGTGGTCAGCCAGCCCCTTCCCTAGGACACTTCCTAGTCCTCAGCATGGGCTGGATCAAATGCCTGGCTGAAGCTGGGAATTCCTGGACAAGTTCTCATAGAAGGGTGCTCAGCAAGCAACAGGCATTCTCATGGCTTCCCTGGTTACGCCATTCACTCTAGTTTACTGAGGCAGGCGGCTCTCTGCAGAGGAGCTGGAAAAGAACAGACAAAGGAACCAGGGATCATGGGTGGGATGCAGATGAATGGAAAAGGGGAACCATGATGTTAAGCTTTTACGGAACTCCTCGTTCCATTTTGTGCGCAGATAAAAAATAAACATTACTCACTCTGAAAAAACAAGGTGTGGGGCAGCCCAGGGAGATTTTGTAATACTGCAAACTCCTAAAATGATAAATGAATTTGTATGCTCCCCCAATGAATAATATTGATTGCCTGCTCGGCAAACCGTGAGCGAGTATTGACTGCACTCCCGCTTTGCTGGAGAAAACCTGATTGGCTTAAAAAAAAAAGTGTGTGTGCGTGCACACACACACACACACAGAAGTTGAAATCCACAATTTGAGAAGCTCCTAGTGTTGTCAATAATTAATCTGTAATTTTGTCTGTCTTCCAGTAGATGAGAGAAGAAAAAGGCAATCTGGAGGCAGACGGGGAAGACATTCTTCCTGATGCAGATATGGGGAACTCGTGACCCCCCAAATGCTGTTTAATTTCAATCTGCATCTCTCTGAGCCTTGGCAACATCACCTGGACTAATGAGAAAAGGAATCTGAAAATATCTGAAGTGCCCCTGGCTGCCCACCTCTGCCCTGACAGATTGCCCCATTGAGTCAACTAGATTGGGGAAAAGTTTGTTTTCTGGAGCTCAATTTCCCACTTGTAAAATGGGAATAATTACAATCCAAATTTCACTGGGGAAGGAAGGTCTTCTGTTCCAGGTCTTTTTTTCCTTGTGTGACCTAGAAGGAGCCGTGATAAGCCTATTTGTGCAATAGGGTTATGATTTACGATTGTCCAGAGTCACTTGTTCAGATGCGCAGCTGTAGAAATCAAATAAATAAATAAATAAATAAGTCAGTCAGTCAGTCAGTCAGTAAATAAATAAATGAGAATAGATCTCTTCTTTATTCACACACACACACACACACACAAACTATATATATTTCCATGATTTGTTCCAAATAAAGGTTCCATGATTATGCAGAAAGAAAGGTCAAGTCTCCTTTGTGGGAAGCCAGACACTTGGAGATTTTCATCCATGAAATGTTATTTGGCAACATATGGTTGGCAAATGGCTGCCAAACAACTACAGATATGGTTTAGCTTTGCCTTCTTCAGAACATAACGGTGCCTGCTGGATCAGACTCTAGGCCCATCTGGTCCAGAAGAGTGTTCCCCCAGTGGCCCACCAACTGGACAAGGAAGTCCACCGGTCTCCCAGTAGATGGCCTTCAGAGCCAGACCCACTGCCATCAAGGCTAACAGCCTTTAATTTCTCCATCTAGTCTACCGATCAGATATTTCCTGATGATCTCCTTTCTAAGTACTAATCAGATCCACCCCCATTTAGTTTTTTGAGGTCAGGCAAGGATAGCTAAAAGCACTGCTAACCATCTGGTCCTTATACTCAACTGACAAAACATTTTGTGAAGAAATCAAAACGAACACTTATTATACAAATCTAAGCATCACTTTAAGCCTGATGATTGCAAAGCATTTTCAGCAACTATTCTGAAAGAATTATCATCATTATTATTACTATTACTATGATTGCTATTTTATTTAAATTTATGGGCTGCCCAACTCCAGTGGAGTTGAGTACGTGCTTTCATCGTTTGGTGCTATATTTAATTTTTCTCCACTGATAATGAGCCACACCGTGAATCTTTATGTGAAAGACTGAATAACAAATACTCGGAACAAATCAACTCCCAACAACATTTTCATTATAACATTTAAATCACATCTTTCAGTGTAAAAAGTGCATCACTAGTACAAATTCACATGTCTCTGGCCGTATATCTGAACGTTGCGTTCTTGATATTCTCAGAGCTTGTTGTTTTTCTGTAGATGTTTCATTACCAGGCAAGGTAACATCATCAGTGCAATAACCTAATCGAGGAGCCATCAAGGAAGAAACCACACTCCAACCAAGAATGGCAAAACAAGCTACTATATATAAACAGCCAGCACACTCCATTGCTGCACTAAGGATGTTACACAGCTTGGTAATGAAACGTCTGCAGGAAAACCTCCAAGTTCACAGAACATCAAGAACCCCGCAGATCATCCATGAACTACATCTGTTCTCTTCTACTGGCATATATATATATCTATATCTACACAGTGGTGAAGGTGCTGGACTAGAAACCAGGAGATCGTGTGTTCTAATCCTCCCTTAGTCATGGAAGCTGGCTAGGTGGCTTTGGGCCAGTCCCTCTCTCTTAGCCCAACTCACCTCACAAGGTTGTTGTGGGGAAAATAGGGAGCTTGGAGCATTATGTAGTCTGAAATACAAAATAATGACAAGATATAAATCTAATAAATAAAAAAAAGACCTGTCTTTATTTCTGTTTTTAAACTTGTATTTCCAAATTTATTTTCTGATCCAAACAAATCTTCCAAACAGCTCATAATAATTATTACAGTATTTTGTGTATTTTATTGGCACCCCACTTTTTTCCCATGAGTTCAAGATAGAATATATGGTTCTTTCCTCCTCTCCAGTTACACAGCTGGCAGCTCTTTGAGGCAGTGTCTTTCAGACTCTTTCCAGGAGCTTTGCAACTGAGCAGAGAACTGAATTGGGATTTCCCACATCCTTGTTCACCACTCTAACTACTACACAATACTGCTGCAATAGATGAACAGGTAGCTTAGCAGGTAGTAACACTAGATTTCCTTTCTCTAGGATCAGAAGCTAAGCAAGGTCAGGCTGCTTAGTGTTTGGATGGGAGACCACAAGGAAATCCCAGGAGTGTGGATTAGGCAGTCAAGAAAAAAAATCTCCAAAGGGGAAAATTAAGGTCAGTATCAGGAATATCTAAAGTAGTCAGGACCTATTATGAGGCTATTGGGAGCACTGAAACAGACTGTTAGGTTACAGGAGGGAATACTGTAATGATTCAGGCTAGTCTCACAACCTTGCCTAATCTTGAAAAAGCTAATAGGAGTTGGATCTGGTTAGTATTTGCATGGCAGAATCTCCCTGGATGTGTTCACAAAATCAGAGTTGAACTTGACATGATGGAGACTTGATTTTTTAGGATGGTGCTCAAAAAGGCCTGGAGCATTACTCTTTGTTTGAATCTTTACTACACGCTGTTTTAAATCTCACTTTGAATTTTGGGAATAAGGGCTGAGATCAAGAAGCAAAGGTTAACGCCAACTAATTGTATGGTTAGATTTTTAAGCCGGCTTAATTACATTCTGATTCAAGCCAGGCTGTCAACCAACTGCTAAAACATCTGAAAGTATTAATTTTTGGACAAATCAAGGAATTATAATCCTAATAGATGGCAGGCAAAATAAGAATGAAGGAAAGTGAAGAAGACAACTTAACTGGACACACACACAGGGACACAAACACTTTTGTGCAGAACTGTCAATAAACATTATTATTCAAATATCTATATGGACATTTTCCACATCGAACCTTCATAATAAGCCACAAATTTAACCTGGCTTCCTTGACGCTGTTTTTCTTTTTAATGAAAACTCCAAATCCAAGGAAACACGCCGTATTAGAGCGGGTGAGGTAGATATCCACGCACACAAGAACTTTTCCCACGGCTAAACATAAGCCAAAGAGACGCCGACGGTCTAAACCACCTTTCCTTCTTGACTCAAGTTTCGCCATTCATGACCTGAACTAACGGCCACATTCATGAAACAAAAATGAAACATTTTCCATACTCTTTTCACCCCCCACCCCCAAATGTTATTATTTATTTAAAAAACGTTAAGCCAAGCCGGGACACGCACAAAACGTTGAGAGCCACCAGAGCCAGCTGCTCAAAGAGCCCCCTTTTGAAATTTCCCACACCGCCCCCAAAGCTGCATCATCCGTTAGCAGCTTCCTTTAGCAGCTGTTAAGATAGACTGCTCTGGAATAAAGCATCTCTGCGCAGGTGGATCATGCGACTCCCCTTCTCTGCGGGGTTATGTCCTTCATCCTGTCCTTTTATTTACTTCATTGGGGTCCAGCACGAATTCTTTGTGATTTTAGGCGGGTTTTACACCCCCCGCCCAATAGGTTGGCTTGTCTCGTTTTCTGGCTCCCCAGGAGGGCCGCTTCGCCTTTAAAAGGAAAGGACAGGCAGAAATGCTGCAGGGAGTGTTCTCCCCACGACTGCCCGGAATGCTGGAAAAGCTATCCCTGTTGGATTTCTGCCTGCCCTCCATCTCTTAAAAGCCAAGCTCTGCAGAGGGAAGGCGCCTGGCCCTTTCCCCCTTGTTGTATCCTATTGCTGCACTTACCCCATTCCCTTTGCGCGCTCCCCACGCAGAAACACCTTCTCCCATCTTCCATTCACCAGCTTCTGCAGGAAATTAAAACAGGAAGGAACTTTGATTTTTTTTTTTTTATGCCTCTAAACTCACAGCCCTTTCATCTTCCGGAGCCCCTCTAGGAATGGCCACTTCTTCTCCTTAACCCGTGGAGTGCCGGAGCAAAAGCGGGCGCGGGGATTTCTTCCTGCGGCTTGAGTTTTTCGCTCTCTTAATCGTTCCCTTTCGCGCTTTGTGGGGAGGAAAGGTTTGGTTCTCTTTTCTTTTTTCCAGAAGAGATGTCAGAGGAGAATAAGAAAGAAGTCCAAAATAAGATGGGCGATATTGTAAAGCAAAATGTATGGCCTTGAAGTACTTTGTCGTTGCAAAACTTCCTGAACTGTGATCTGGGGCTGAAAGGGTATCTGTTTAAAGCAGTGTTTTTCCAACCTGGCAA